TTTTTTTAATGATTAGAGCCAGAATGAAACAATGATAAATTCAAAATTTGATAATTTCAAATGAAATTATACCTCTTTGTTAGTAAAGCAATAGATGATTGAAATCATGAAGCCCTGATACATGTAAGTGAATGATGCACAATATGTCCAAATTGCAAAATACTAAAATATAAAAATTCAAAAATTATTGTTTTATTCTTGAAATCTTAAAAAAAAGATGCATCACATATAATTAAAAATATTATATGAACATCAGTCCACCACTAATGAATTTCATTTACACCTTATCACAATATCATAACCAACCAACAAAAAAAAAAACAAGCGAATATTACATTTAGCTAGATTTCAAAATTAACATTTAAATGGCTTTATTTTTGCATCCAGTCATCCAGTTCATTTAAATTTCAGTTTTTTCAATTTCTACTTCGCAAGAAGGATATAATTCTGAATTTTTACTTTGAAGTGACATTAAAATAAAATTTCATTACAAATTCCTTTCCTAAATCCCTAACTCTTAATAATAAAAAAAATTCTTTCTAACTTATCCAACCCATTTGATGTATAATATTAATGTGATCAACTTACTACAATATTATCTTTAGTTGGCGAGAATGGTATAGTTTGCATAATATTCGGAATACCTAATAGTGGGATTAGCATCAGTGCTGCTTTTACACTTTTCCTAAATATCAAAGTTTCATTGGGTAAACGAAATTATTGTTTATTTATTTGTTTTGAATTAAATATTATGAAAGTAGCAATTTTCATAATAACGAACAATAAAAATCAAAAGCTAATAAATTGGTCACTTTTTTTTTCAATATGAAATAATATTGCAAATATTTGCTATACCATTTTTTTAAATTCGTTCTTTTGAAATCTGAATTACTATGAAAATAAATTAAGTTGGATAACTTACTTCATCCTATCTAATTCACTCGTATTGCGTGATTGGCTTACTTTTGTCCATAAAACTCGAATTACATTGCATATGAAAAATAAATTTACCTAAAAAGAATTCCATTATATCTCTTTTTAAAATTCGATATATCCAATCGATGACGGTCAAATTGGGGAATATCATGTAAAATTCGTGTTACGAATTTGTTTAATTCAATGGAAAATTCAAAAACGGAATAGCTTAATTCAAAAAAAGAGAATTTTCTGTTTTTTTTTTCCAAAATTTTTAAGTGGCATACAACTAATTCAAACATCCTTGGCCCATCCAAAAGCCAAAATTCCGGTTCAAGATAATATGGTCCAAGACATCGATCCACTTTTCCTTGTTTCTTCATAAATATTACTGCTAACCATAGAAATGTTTGTGCCAGTGGAAAACCTTTTAAATTTCGATTAATCAAATAAATTTTAATAAAAAATTTAAAAATTTCAAAATTTTTGAAAAATTTCAAAACATATGAATGAAAATAGAATGATCAGCTAAATGTGATAATAAACCTTAAACTATAATATCATACCGTATCCGGCTATAAGATAACGTGTGAGACGTAGTTCGGATGCAAATACTGTAAAGACGAGTTTATTATGCAAATAGAATCCCTCAAGGAACATCCAACAAAATGCAACAGTTTTGAAATACTCAAGCATAAAAAACATCGCTTCACATAAAAATACCTGCAAATTTAATAAGATAATTTTGAATAGTATTAATTAAATAATATCAAATAGAATTACAGCATAAAAATTACACTTTAAATCCAAAATTTCAATGACAATTTTATTGAGAAATTAAGCGATAATTGTAGGAGATGATGCTTTCATAATATTTTCATTTTTCAAAAAACAAATTCAATCTGTTGTATAAATGATGCAAAATTTAAAAAATGCTCGTTAACTTTGTAAAAGCTATAACATTCGTCAAATTTGTAGAAGCAAGCTACATTTAATACTCATTGAATTTGTGAAATAAGACAAAATCAAAATCGTTCTCATTTTTTAATCTAATTTTTTGCTTTTGTTTAAAACAAAAAAAATAAATTTAAAAAAACCGTAGTATTTATAGTTTTTCCATTATTACTATCCAGATGATGTGGTCCAAGACGATCAGTGAAAATAAGATCGATGTAGAGGATAAGGCGAATTACAACAACCATTAATATGGCAATCATTAATTGTAAATGCAATAAATTCCTAAATACCCGAAGCCTCCTGAAACGATTTCAATAGCATATTTAGTAAATTCAACTATTACTATTACACCTAAAAGACGGAAATAAAGAACAAAAAACTTCGTGAGATAGTTTTATAATAATTCACTGTATTTGCTATTGATAACATCAATTTTTTTCGTTTAAATTAATGAAATTGAATAAACATGAGAACCTGAAGTAAGAAAAAATAGCGATTGATATGAGCAAAGAAATGAGCGATAAGCCAAGACCAACAAATTCTAATTTACGAGCATTCCTTGCTACTTCTTGAGCTATCTGCAATTTTTTCTTTTGGTGCAATTAATCCAAATGCGCTCAGAAATATGTATAAGTACGATGAAATTAATGTAACAAAAGAATTCTGTTTTATTTTGTAAATTAAAAGAATTTACAACAAGAGATCCGTTGGTGAGCTTAGTCATCATTTCAACAACTTCCCGAGTAAAACACATCGTAAAATTTGTCCAACCATGAGGGCGTGAGAAGTCACCTTCTGCTCGACCCATCCAACGACCCGAACTATGGCACCATTTGGTAATATTCTCTATAAATACTTTTATCAAATCATTGATATCATATCATAATTAAGCTAAAACTTCACTTCAAAAAAATTATGAAATAGGAGAGAGAAGGAAAAGAAAAATAAATAAACAAACAAACAACAAATAAACAAACAACTAAACAAACAAATAAACAAACAAATAAACAAACAAATAAA